GATGGAAAATTTAGAAATAGACTTCACTTTTGAAATCTATAAATGTGCAAATTACCAATGAAAAATAAAATATAACTTGAAGTCGTGAGTTAATCTAACATACTTAACCAGGCATAAGGTAACAGATTTGTAAAGGATGAGCTTGTTACATAAGAGACTTATGTTTGATGACCTCTTCTGCCTTCAAACGTTAGCCACTACTGATACTAAAAATATAACAAAAATTATTCAATGAAATAGCTATATAGCAAGAGTCATTTTATCACAACCACAAACAAATTTTTGCGGTCGTATATTGGTATGACGTTGGCGTCGTTGTCGTCCGAAGACACATTGGTTTTTTAGCACAATAACTTTAGTTTAAGTGAATGGATCTCAATGAAATTTTACCATAAGCTTCAATACCACAAAAGGAAGATTCGGATTGATTTTGGGGGTTATGGAACCAACAGTTAAGGAATTAGGGGCCAAAAAGGAGCCAAAAATAAGCATTTTTGTAACTTCCAGACAATAACTTGTGTGTTAGTGTAGGGATCTCTCTGACATTGGACCACAAGGTTCCATATCACAAAGGGGATGCTGGGATTGATTTTGGGGGTAATTGCCTCAAAATTTTAGGAATTAGGCGGCCAAAAAAGGGGCAATAAACAAGCTTTTTTCTAGTTTCATGACAATAACTTGTATGTAAGTGTATGGATCTTTCTGAAATTGTACTACAAGGTTCCATATCACAAAGGGAAAGCTGGAATTGAGTTTGGGGGTAATTGCCCAAAACGTTTAGGAATAAGGGGCAAAAAATAAGCTTTTTTCTAGTTTCCAGACAATAACTTGTGTTCAAGTGTATGGATCTCTCTGAAATTGTACTACAAGGTACCATACCATAAAGGGAAGGCTGGGATTGATTTTGGGGGTAATTGCCTCAAAATTTTAGGAATAAGGGGCCAAAAAGAGGCAAAAAACAAACATTTTTCTAGTTTAAGGACAATAACTTGTGTGTAAGTGTATGGATCTTTATGAAATTTTACTACAAGGTTCCATATCAAAAAGGAAAAGCATGGTTTGAGTTTGGGGGTAATTGCCCTAAACGTTTAGGAATAAGGGGCCAAAAATAAGCATATTTCTAGTTTCCAGACAATTAATTGTGTTCAAATGTATGGATCTCTCTGAAATTGTACTGTAAGGTACCATACCTCAAAGGGAAGGCTGGGATTGATTTTGGGGGTAATTGCCTCAAAATTTTAGGAATTAGGGGCCAAAAAGGGGCAAAAAACAAGCAATTTTCTAGTATCAGGACAATAACTTGTGTGTAAGTGTATGGAACTTTTATGAAATTGTACTACAAGGTTCCATATCACAAAGGGAAAGCTGGGTTTGAGTTTGGGGGTAATTGCCCTAAACGTTTAGGAATTTGGGGCCAAAAAGGGGCCAAAAACAAGCATTTTTACAGTTTCCAGACAATAACTTGTGTTCAAGTGTATGGATCTCTCTGAAATTGTACTGCAAGGTACCATACTTCAAAGGGAAGGCTGTTATTGAGTTTTGGGGTGATGAATCATAAGGGGGTTAAAAAAATTGGGGGAGGGATTTTTTTTTCCCCCCTTTTTTTTCCTTTTTTTTTTCTTTAAAATTTTCCATTATAAGTTGGTTATTTTTTATTAATATATAAAAGGAAATAATAATGATATGGTTTGAATTCATCATAAATTGAAATATTGGGGTTCTTTGATATGCTGAATCTAACCGTGTATTTAGATTCTTAATTTTTGGTCCCTTTTTCAAATTGGTCTACATCAAGGTCCAAAGGGTCCAAAATTAAACTTAGTTTGATTTTAACAAAAATTGAATTCTTGAGGTTCTATGCTGAATCTAACCGTGTATGTATTTAGATTTTGGATATTCGACCATAATAGGTAAATTAAAATTTTTTAAGTTCTTAGACCACATTCATTCTGTGTCAGAAACCTATGCTGTGTCAAATATTTAATCAAAATCCAAATTCAGAGCTGTATCAAGCTTGAATGTTGTGTCCATACTTGCCCCGACTGTTCAGGGTTCGACCTCTGCGGTCGTATCAAGCTGCGCCCAGCGGAGCATTTTATTACAAAAATAAAAATATTAACAAAAATTATTCAATGAAAAAGCTATATAACAAGAATCATTTTTACAAAAACAGGAAAAATTAAGAAATTTAAAAAAATATAATCTTTTAACATAAAAATGAAAAAATATGTGGTATGAATGTCAAAGAGCGAAGGACAAGGATGTAGGCAGCAATAAGGTACCAGTTGCTGACAGACTTTGAATAATGCATGCAGATCATATTTAATCACTTTGGTTGATGACTTGATGCTTCAGGCTTTTACAACTATCTAAAAAATAAAATTGATGAAAAAACTCAATGAAAAATCATTTAAAAGACAACATAGCTCCAAACTTTGGTTAGATAATTGATGTACTGTCCTTTGTAAGACCTTTGGTTGATGGGTCCATCTGCATGTAGATATGACTGCCACTGTTAATAAAACTAGAAACTTTGACAAAAAGTCCCAATAAACCTCTTGTATGGACTAAGTGCTACAAAACATTTAAGGATTAAATGATGTTTGTTATATGATAAAAATGATATAAAAAAGTGGTAATGATAAAATATATCTGAAATCTTAAAATCATGAATTTCAGGGGTGAAATGAAATTTGAAAAAAGTAAAATGATGTTGTAAATACTACAGCAAACTGTAGAAAACTCTTAGTAAACAAGATAGGGGAAGTAAATACTACAGCAAACTGTAGAAAACTCTTAGTAAACAAGATAGGGGAAGTAAATACTACAGCAAACTGTAGAAAACTCTTAGTAAACAAGATAGGGGAAGTAAATACTACAGCAAACTGTAGAAAACTCTTAGTAAACAAGATAGGTGAAGTAAATACTACAACAAACTGTAGAAAACTCTTAGTAAACAAGATAGGGGAAGTAAATACTACAGCAAACTGTAGAAAACTCTTAGTAAACAAGATAGGGGAAGTAAATACTACAGCAAACTGTAGAAAACTCTTAGTAAACAAGATAGGGGAAGTAAATACTACAGCAAACTGTAGAAAACTCTTAGTAAACAAGATAGGGGAAGTAAATACTACAGCAAACTGTAGAAAACTCTTAGTAAACAAGATAGGGGAAGTAAATACTACAGCAAACTGTAGAAAACTCTTAGTAAACAAAATAGGTGAAGTAAATACTACAACAAACTGTAGAAAACTCTTAGTAAACAAGATAGGGGAAGTAAATACTACAGCAAACTGTAGAAAACTCTTAGTAAACAAGATAGGTGAAGTACAGAGAGTATTTGAGATTAAATGTTTTAAATGAAAGGATTAAATAACAGAAATTACCAAATATATCTGACAGTTTGATAGACCACACCAGTATCTACCAATTTATATGTTATAATCTGTTAATATATAAAAAGGGATAAAAAGTTTGCCAAAAAATGTACACAGTACAACAGATCACGTCAACCCCCAACAACCGACTCTTCTGAAGAAAAAACAACCAGACATACAAACATGGTCCAGATAGCCTGACTTGCTATCTATGCACAAAATGTTGTGGGGTTAAACCAGTTTTACATACCCACAAACATGTAAACCTACTGCCTTTGAAATTTGTAGATTTGTGAAACTCTGGTGTTTGACACTGGAGGATTCTGGTCACATAAATTCTCATAGTATAGATATTGATTGTCTCAGAAACGACAATCAAATCAAATTGGCGACATACGAAATGAAACCATTGAAAAACAAAGAAGGCAATGTTCCAATAATAAAGTCTCTCTTTGACAGTAAATCTAAATCAGTGTTGCGTTTAATTTACATATAAATAAGATGTGTTGCATATTGTTTTGCAGTCACATGATTTGTTGTGTATAAAAGTTTTATTTACGATGATCCTGTCTGAATAAACTAAGAATGAATGCTCTTTTCTGGAACTATTATACATTCTGATTCCATTGAATACAATAAATGACATTGGGAAAACATTTATGCCATGTTTTTCATTTTAATTTACATAAATTGCCACAAATAAAGGTAAATTGATATATACATCAAGGAGAAATCATAGTCTCTTGTCTGTGGTATCAAATCCCTTTACAATGACTTCAGTCAGTTTGTTATGCTTTGATCTTTAACTATTAAGAAAAGCAAAGAAAAGAAGTAATAAAGAAAAGATATTCTTTTATTCCAACTACAAAATATTGATAATAAAGATACAAAATTTTTTAGGGGGGGGGGGGGGGGGATAACTCTTAGTTATTTGAGGTTTTCAAGAAAATCCTGATGTATTTTCATATACAAATAATGGTTTATGTTTACTACATGTAACTACTGTAACTTCAGGAATATAAAATTGAACAAGACAATATGTAACTCTAAAACTGCCTATTAAATAAATTATGCTTTCCCATTGTTAATTAAATACATTTGGAATGCAATTCTTTAAAAGTTGTCAATATATTATGATGCAATTTGTTGGGAGACATAATTTAACATTTACAAACATGGTTCAAAGATTACCCTGCACCCCAAATTAATCAATACTTTATTTTATAAATTTTAACTGCATCTATCCCTACAAAATAGCTCAATATAACACAATATCTGAATAGAATTCCCTTATTTATTGGTTAGACCTATATTAACTGTACTGAATACATAACATCTACTAATGTTTACTGAATACACAACATCTATTAATGTTTACTGAATACACAACATCTATAAATGTTTACTGAATACACAACATCTATTAATGTTTACTGAATACACAACATCTATTAATGTTTACTGAATACACAACATCTATTAATGTTTACTGAATACACAGCATCAATTAATGTTTACTGAATACACAGCATCTATTAATGTTTACTGAATACACAACATCAATTAATGTTTACTGAATACATATATATATATATATATTATGAAGTGTATTTCTATTTTCAGGTGATAAAAGAATCTTTATTGACACAGAAATGTTCAGATATATCCGCTGAAGATGCTGACAATGAAGATGAGACCGAAACAGACATTTCTGAGAAATGCAAAGCTATTAAATTAGATTCAGACAAATTAGACAAATTAGACAATAATGTTGAATTACCCTGGGATGTAACTAGACTTGAATCTTGTGAAATTTTATCAATTCAAAATCTAAATGATTGGGATTTTGCTATCTTTGATTTAGCCAAATTATATCCTGATACACTGTTAAGTAAGGTGAGTATCATTTTAAGGAGGTTTTTTTTAAGGGGGGGGGAATGAAAACATATCTGTATACCATATGTAAAAATATCACCATTCAAAAACAACAAAAGTAATTTAAGAACTTGACTTAATATAACAATAAGCTGTGTAAATAAACATATGAAGTCTATATGGATGGATGTTCAAGTCCAGCAGGTCATTTTAAGTCATAAATAACATAATAACATGTTAAAATACAGTGCCCTATAGTTGTTTTTCATCCTTGTCCTTTTGTCTCTGGTGGATAAATGTTTCATTGGCAATCATACTGCATTTTCTTATTTTGATATATATTGAATGAACTTGAACAGAACAATGATCATGATATTTACATAAAGGTAACATTAGTTAGAGGATATATCCACAACCTTGAACACACTATTCTGACCTTGAGCTCCAATTTATGAACACCAGCACACTACCCTGACGTCACTCTGATTTACTTTGAAAATTTTATGTATTTCCTTCCATTTCAAAATAATTTCAACATAATTTTAAACATATTGAAATTCTAAACCTGGTTAAAAATAGCTCAACAAAGTAAAGTATATATAGAAATATTAAGTTTTAGAATCTCTGAAAATACGATATACCTAATAGCAGCCATTAAAGATGTTGAATTGTGTTTACCTTTCGTACGTCACTATTTTCAATGAAACGACTTACCCTCCTTCGTGTTGATTTTCTGCCTAACTATCCTTTTCCATCTTAATAGATTAATGGATTAAGTCAAATAAAATTGAATTTGATCAGAAGAAATCTTCTTATGTTCAGTTAAACTGATGAATGACACAACTCTTAATTCAATAAATATTTCTGTTTATCAACCTCCATCACCAAATTAAATGACAAAGATTTGATGATATTTATTGAACAAGAGTGCACAAAAGACTTTGTACTACTTGATTTAAGAAATTGGCAATTATTATTATTAAAATTAGAAAATATTTCTCTTTTTTGCTAAAGTTGATATTGTAGCTAAAAAGACGGACTAACAGATTATATTACTTGTTAACAATTTTTTGCATGCAACCTTTGGTTATTATATAGTGTATAACCCCATTAATTGTGCTGGGATGACATCAACGCTTAGATATTTAACCATATATTAGGTGGCCTACAGATGATTTAAGGGAACACTCTCGTCAATGTCTTTCCTTGGAATACACATATTAGGCCTCTAGTTTTCTCAATTGAATTGTTTCATATTTTTGTCAGTCCGTCCGTCCGAGTCGATATGTTGGACAATAACTCAAAAACACTTTAACCAATTTGCATGAAACTTTTGTGAATTGTTTATATCTATTGACATGAGCTTCCTTTTAATTTTCATAAATTTTGGATTTTACGTTTCCGAGTTATGGGGTTTTATTCACTAAAAAAGGGGGATTTTCCCGTTTTCGGACAATAAATCAAAAATGTTTTGAGCAGTTTTCATGAAACTTTGGTAAATTGTTTATATCTATTGATGTGAGCTCCCTTTTGATTTTTTTATAAATTTAAGATTTTACGTTTCTGAGTTATGGGGTTTCATTCTTTAAAAAAGGGGGATTTTCCAGTTTTTGGACAATAACTCAAAAGTTCTTTGAGCAGTTTTGATGAAAATTTGGTGACTGGTTTATATGTATTTAAATGACCTCCCTTTAGTTTTTTTTATAAATTTCTGATATGACATTGAGGAGTTATGGAACTTTATTCTTTGAAAAATCGACGGGCGTATCATGCACTCATTGCGCAGCTCTTTATTCTCATTGTCGAAAGCCGTACAGTTGCCTATAATTGCTAACATCCACTTCATTTTTACTTTGGTGGATAGTTGTCTCATTGGCAAGCATACCATATCTCATTATTTTTTATATAATATAAAAAAATGATGGAAATTTTCCACTAGAAAGTTGTACACTATTTCAATCTTATTCATTTAAAAAATAAAACAAAACAAAGAACTTGCAAAGAAGCAAATCTTTTTATGTCTTAAGGATGTGATTGTACTATTATCACATAAGGTAACTTTTCTTTCTTCTAAAACAAAGGTCACAAGACATTCATTGCTATAGTAACCTTACGTCAAGTCCATCTTCTTGTAAGGGCAGCTAGCATCAGATGTCAGAGAAATATGAACAGATTAATGGTAGAGAATATTAGTAATTGGAGAGGAAAGCTGACATTAAATATCCATTGACATAACTGGCTTAACCAATTTATTGACATAAGACAATTATAGAACATTCATGTTCAGACTTTTCCAGTCATTTTATATTTTCATACTCAGAATTTCTTTTCGTCAAATTGTTGAATTATCTTTTATATTTTTTGATAATGTAAATTGTACATATGTAAATTGCAATATTGATCTTACATATTTAGATGAAAAGGAAAATTTGTAAGAAAATGTGAATTGGACATCTACCTTACAATCGTCCAAAGTATGCTTGAAATATTTGCTACAGGACATTAATTAAGCAACAATAAATCAATCTACCTTACAACATTTACCTTACAGTCGTCTGAAGTGTGAATGAATTATTGCTACTGGACATTAATTAAGCAACAATCAATCAATCCATCTACGGTACCTTACAACATCTTGTGATCAAAAACTATATATACATATTGATAAAATAATAACAATGTTTACATTTTATTACAGGTTGGTTATAAGTTATTTATGGAAGTAGGGTTGTTTGAAACATTCCGGATACCTTTGCCACAGTTTTTACATTACTTCCATTCTTTAGAAAAAGGTTACAGATCAAAGCCATGTAAGTATGGTAACAGGACATTTACTGTTATACCCACAGATATTAACCACGTAGCCACACGTGACATCTTTTTTCTTTGATCTTTTACTTTTCATAGCATTTAGGGTCATTATATTATGTTGTGTACCATAGATTTTTTTTATGAACCGCTGTCATGGTGATTAGAATAGGGGATTCCATACTACAAATGAAGAAAACAAGATTCTGAAAAAAAAACTTGCAAACTTTTAAACCACAGGTTATATATATATATATAGTTGATGCATTAATGTACTCCAGAACATTGTTTAAAGGAAAGAATATTAATGATATTGTTAGAAGAACTTAATGGTTAGTAAGTATTAGAACAACTTAACTGAAAGTGTTAAGGTTGGTGTAAATTCAGATATTTGACAGAAACTTGAACATGGGATACTACTTAAAAGACCAATTAAAAATCTTGTTTCTAAATGTCAGTTACCTGTACATTTCATGTTTTATTTGTCACATTCATTATTGCTAAGAGTTTAAAAAATGTCTGGATTCAGCAGATAAATTTGATGGAACGGTTTCCCTGAAAGTGTAAATGTAATCATGTAGCTGATTATTTTCTGAATGCTCTTAGTTAACAACATAAAAAATTAAAATAAATTGATAATTATACTATAGTGCAACAGATTCTAATGATACACTTGGATTTGATATTTAACAAAAAAGCCCAAAAGCTATCTAAATATTGTTCAGGAAACTTCACAGAATTTTATTTTGGGGAATTAAGGTTTTCTTTGCCAGTTTTCATTAAAATTTCTATTTGAATCTCTAGTAAAAATTTTACATCACAGATTTGCACTTTAAATTTAATTAAGTTTAAATGTTATTATTTAGGATGAATAAAACGAAATTTGTTTACTCTTTTACAGAAAGATGAAAGGGACATCACATTTATAGATATGGAATACTTTTTAATTTTATGTTGGTTAATAGATACAAATTTTAATATTCTTGGTTTAATATCCTTCTAGATACTAGCTTTTGATCATAAACAAGCTTCTGTCCAAGTTTGGTACAAATCCAGGATAGTTTAAGAAAGTTATTAAAATTTTGAAAACTTTAACCACAGAGTGAATGTAATGTTAACTGGCATGAAAACTAAGTCCATTTATGAGTAAAATACGTATAAACAGGATTTTTTTTTTACAAAATTTACTTCTGGATACTATCTTATGATCATAAACAAGCTTCTGTCCAAGTTTGGTAGAAATCCAGGATAGTTTAAGAAAGTTATTAAAATTTGAAAAACTTTTAACCACAGAGTGAATATTTGTGGACGCCGCCGACGGAATGTAGGATCGCTATGTCTCGCTTTTGCGACAAAAGTCTCAGGCTTGACAAAAATAGAGGTCGATTTCAATATTGACAATTTTCACAAATACCGTTCAGGAGTTATGGTCCTTTATAGATTTTAAAATTACCAGTTATAACGTGTCTGTGTAATAATCTATAAACTGCTCAACCAATGCTTTTCAAATTTTTATATGTTGTTACTGATGACAAAATGGAGGTATATTTCAAATTGATGATCTTCCCTTTTAGCCTTCAGGATTTATGGTCCTTGATAGATTGGAAAATAAGCACAGACCGTGGCAGGTCAAAAAAGCCTAAAAGCGCCTTTCAAAAAATAAAACCCAATTTGCTGTCATTTTGACAGCTCATTTCTTGTTGTTTTCCAATCTAAAGTATTAACCATGAGTACAAAATACTGGAAATAGTAATAAATGCATATAAGACCGCAGTTTGTCTAAAAATTTTCAAGTTTCATTGACCTTGGCTATATAATAGCAGCCAGTTTTATAGGTGGAGAAAGTTGGCATGAAAACTTGTAGTTCTTGTCCATGGAAAATAAAAGTTCAGTATAAATCCAATATTACCCATGAGGACAGTAATCACATCTAGTTATTTCTTGATTCAACAATAAAAGTACACCAGATTTCAAAGTTTGAATAAACAAATGATTTAATGAACTGTTGACCTTCTAGAAACCAATGTCCTTGGAATTAATCCTGGCAGTATACTTAACATCCCCACTAATGGTTATTGCAATGAGAATATTCTGTAGTGACCCAGGCTTTGATTGATTTAAAAGGGAAATTATAGTTATCAACATTTGCATGATTTTAGATGATTTATCAAACAGTGACATGAAATGTCAATTTATTAGAAGGAGGACTAGAATATACATACTTTGATTTTCATTGGTTATAGAGTATACATGATGGTCAGGGCTACTTTGATTTTCATTGGTTATAGAGTATACATGGTGGTCAGGGCTACTTTGATTTTCATTGGTTATAAGTTGATTATTTGTTTGTTATTGTTTAACACTATTTCCTGCATTCAACTGATTGAAGAAGTATAAGTGACTGGAGTAAACTGGAAAGAAACATTCAAGAGACTTTAAGGCTGATTTATATTTTGAAATATATAGTCTCTGATGTAAATCAATGAGCTCTGATTTCGTCTTCTGTTTGATATTTAACATGACTTCTTTCCCACATCTGGTTTTATTTATATGTAAATTGTTGCTGTGTTCTACCGTTCTCACTTATATTGTACCAACAGAAACATAGAAGATGCTGCTGTTGAAAAGTTTTATTCATTAATAAAGTTGATAATGCAAACATGCTAGTGTTTTTATGCCCCACCTACGATTGTAGTAGGGGCATTATGTTTTCTGGTTTGTGCGTCCGTCTGTCCGTCCCACTTCAGGTTAAAGTTTTTGGTCAAGGTAGTTTTTTGATGAAGTTGAAGTCCAATCAACTTGAAACATAGTACTCATGTTCCCTATGATATGATCTTTCTTATTTTAATGCCAAATTAGAGTTTTGACCCCAATTTCACGGTCCACAGAACATAGAAAATGATAGTGCGAGTGGGGCATGTGACTGTCAAGGCCTCAACCCCTACCTTTGCAGATGCTATGCTGCCAATTATTTTTTCTTCATCATTTGTTAAAGGAGATGTGGGGTATACATCAATGAGACAGCAACCCAATGACACAAAGAACCAAAAACAAATTTAATTTTTTTTTTCTGTTCACAAATAAAGTTAAAAAAGTCACCAATAGAATCTATTGGTAAAGGGAACTTTTGAACACCACACTACACTACTTATTTATTTCCAAGTTTACACAAATGGAAAATTGATACAAATGAAAAAATACAATAAGTGTAGTTTATCGAGTATAAATTTTAAGACATGTAATACAAGAAGTTTGAAATATTAAGATGATGGTGATAAAACTCTAGTAGTTTTTTTATTGATAGATACTGTTACATTTGTAAAAAAGTTGATAGAAATTTACTGCCTAAAAGGCAACAGTTTAGTATTGCCAGGGTATTGTTTGTCAAGATACAAATGATCATTGATTTTGTTGGTAAAACTTTTCTATGTTTATAGAAAGGTGGTTCTTTGATTTTTATGTGCTGCCATCAATAGAAGAAAGGCATTATGTTTTTGTTTTATGATCTGCCCTTGATAGTGGAGGACATTATGTTTCTTGGTCTGTGCGTCTGTCTGTCTATTATGACATTTTTAGATTATGCCAAATTATGTTTCTGTAATGGTAAAGAACTCTATGTGGCATTTAATCGTGAGTTTTAAATCTTTTATTATTCCTGTCAGCCTCTAATCAGACTTAATCAGTGTTACTTTTATATAATTGAAATCTCAATAACAGAGTTTGATGTCTCCATTTGTCCTGTAAACATCTAAGATTCACTATATTTCAAGTCAAAAAATGTGTGTCTGTATCATTTGAGACTTAATCATATTACCTATAACATATGATTTTTCTCTTGCTTTCAGATCATAATAGAGTGCATGCTACTGATGTATTACATGGAGTGTACTACCTCACTACACAACCTATCCCTGGATTTACTCAAGTACATAACAGTGATATGTTTAACAGAAACGGGTCCTCTAGTGAATCAGGTATGTCAATAGTCTACAGTTTTTAAAGTCTCTGGTATAACCATCTGGCAGCGGTGGCGTAAACTATTTGTATAAAGCTTTATATTTCAGAAGGTAGAAGACCTGGATGATTCATATCTTGTATGCAGATACCTTGTTACGAAGTTTCTGTCTGACATATGTCCATTGTCCTTGACCTCATTTTCACGATTCAGTGACTGCTTGAAAAAAAATTATTGTTTTTTTGTCATGTGAATTTCTCACTTATTATGAGTAATAGAATAACTATATTTGGTATATGGGTTCCTTGCAACGTCTACATGTCCGCCAGACAGGATTCACCCAGGCATGGGGTAATGCAAATTTGTAATTGTAATGCATGGTAATGCATTACATTTTTCCAAGTAATTGCATGTAATGTGTAATGCAGCAATTTGTGCATTACATGTAATTGTAATATAATGCATTACTTTAGCAAAAAGTTGTGTAATTTCATGCATTACATGGCATTACATGTCATTACTTTTTTCACATACTACTACATCTTTAACATGATATTGTTGGAGTTTTAACTAAACCAAATTTAAGATTTCTTGATTAACTAAGAATATGTTAATCATTAGATTATACTCTTTTTTTCATCTTATTTCATACATTTCCCAGCATAAAAAGATTGATATTTGAAAAGCATAACTGTATTGTTGTCATAAGATCAAAGAATATCTTGTCTTGCTTAAATAAAAGATAATTAAACTTTGTTATAAAACACTAACTAGTTTGTTTTACAATCAATATTTTCACCATTTAGACAATTGTTCATTAATTAAGGTCTATGTTTATTTTATAATTAGGGAAGTAATTCACAGTAATTAAATATTTCGTTTAAAATTAAAAAAACAACAAAAAGTGTATTTATAAAAGTAAAGTCAACATTAAGTTAAAATAATTAAAATTGTAAAAGCTGAATTAAATAGACTTTTTACATTTATACTTATATTCAATTCATGGAACAGTTACTGCATATGCTAGAATCTTTTGTGACTTCTAGTTGTCTTTCAAACTGTAATTTTTCTATTCACTTAATAAAATTTTCAAATGTAATGTGTAATTCAAGGCATTACTTTGCAAAAGTAATTGTAATATAATGCATTACTTTGATAAATGCATGTAATTGTAATATAATGCATGGTTTGGTCAAAGTAATTGTAATATAATGCATTACATTGCAATGTAATTCGCCCCATGCCTGGATTCACCTGACCTTGACCTCATTTCATGGATCAGTGATTAAGGTTAAAGTTATGCAATTAGGTCCGTTTCTCAAATACTATAAGTAGTAGGTCAACTATATGTGGTGTATGGAATGATTGTAATGGGCACATGTCAGTCTGGCAGGTTTCATCTGACCTTGACCTCATTTTCATGGGTCATAGGTCAATGTTAAGTTTTTGTGTTTTGGTCTGTTTTTCAAGTATTATAAGCAATAGGTCAACTATATTTGATGTATGGAATGATTGTAAGGTGTACATGTCTGTCTGGGAGGTATTATCTGACCTTGACCCCATTTGCATGGTTCATTGGTCAATGTTAAGTTTTTATGTGTTTTGGTCTGTTTTTCAATTAATTACCATAAGCAATAGGTCAACTATATTTGGTGTTTAAAAAAATTGTAAGGTATATATGTCTGTCTGACAGGATTTATCTGACCTTGATCTCATTCTCACAGATCTTTAAGAATGTTAATTTTATGTGATACTTTTAGTAAAACCTTTACCTTTAAGACTTTCAGCATTAAATCAATGGTCAGTAAAGCAGGCGAGACATTTCAGCGTGTGCACTCTTGTCTCCTTTTTCAATTATAGTCCATTACAGTGATATGTTTAACAGAAACCGGTCCTCTAGTGAATCAGGTACGTCAATAGTCTACAGTTTTTGATTCAGCCATGCTGGATCTATGTGATCACTCTGTTTTTGGAGATGGTGCAGAATACTAAGTTGAAGACATATCATGAAACTAATTATGTGTTTTTTTGACTTGCAGAAACTTTCTACATTATTTTAGTCATCAACTGCCAACTTTTGACATATTATTTGCCCTTAAATTAAGAAAAGATTGGTCGAACAACCCTTTTATTTTAGATATACACTTGCATATAGTTCCTTTGTAAATCAAAATTAATAATGATTTACTATTTATGTATTAATTTCAAAAAGTATTTGTACATCAATTGAATCAGTTGATAAGAATTTTGAAAGTATAATATTAGTATCTTATGCTTGTGTAAATTATTGTTCAATAAAATGTAGGTCAACATGTGTATTAATATATCTAAGTTGATTCCCACTCTTTTTTGAAATGGTATTACTCCAATTCTTTCCGTTGGCAAGTAAGAGTCAGTATGATCATCAACTGTCATGATTATCAAATAATTACACTCAAAGGTGTAAGTATTAATTGGAAACAACCCTAGTCTTAATTCACCACAGTTAATATCTCATGACCTGTTACATAATTAAATAAGCACAATTCATTACACACCTATCTGAATACACACATACTTGACCTCAATAGTAAACCTACAATTGTATTATTTATTTTGAATTACACTACATTAAAATATTCTGTTAATTTTACTAGCTAGCTGAAATTAATCAGATGTGGTTTTTTTTTCCAAAGAAAAGACAAAAATGAAAAAAAATATGTATTAAAATGTAAGCAAATTTTATTTCACTTGTAAAATTAGTGTCATTATCATCTGACATAAGTCAATAATCAAGATCTAATGAATTAGTTACAATTATCAGAAATTTGGTTGAAACAATAAATAAAATTGCATAACTCTTACCTGAGCATTTTCTGCAATAAAATTTATTTGTTTGTTCTACATTTATATCCCATTATATTGCTATTTAACAGTAATTGGAAATATCTCAGCATTAAGTATTTGTAAATTTAAATTTGAATACAGGAAATGTATTTTTTCTTAATGAAGAATGAACACCAATTTAGATAAAAAATAGTTATTATTTTAAAAATTTTTGTTGTTGAGAAAGTGCGTTTCCAAGGTCTCTTTCTGGAAATTATTAAGCCAGTTATTATTAATGGCATATACAAATATATATATATTACTATGACGATTTCCCTTTCCAGAGTGTAAATTAAAATATCAATATCTATATTAATATTGCAAAATTCCCTACCTTTGGACAATAACAAAGGAATTTTTCAGTAAGATTAGAAATGAAAAGAGAAAAAATATTGAAAAAAGTATGGTCAGAAAGAATATCAGACTAGCTATGAATATGGCTGGATCACAACATTGACGATGCTTTGATTATCTCTTCGTAAACTGTTCTTTCTGATAAATGTTGAAGTGTAAAATCGAGTGCAAAAGTTCCTTTCTTGGCTTATTTAAGGTCTATCCAGTGGTGTTTTTTTCTCTCTCCAGAATTCACAAGCAACAGCCAATTACAACAAAACAAGTTAAATCTATATATTTAGTTGGTCTTTCTCAGAGTATTTATGTTTAAAGGTGGTCACTTTTAGAGAAGGACTTACTAATTATTCTTCTATTTAATTTATTTTATTTAGATGACTGTGTATTTATCAGTACTCGTAGGATACCAATTTCATTGGTACAGGTAAACCACAGTTTTGAATGTTCAACATTGTACAAATATTTTTTATAGGATTATAGGCAGACTTTGGCAAAACCACAAAATTAAAAATACATGAAAATATGTTTCTTCCTCAATCCAAGAAAATGAATAAATCCACAGCACTTGACCTTTAATATCACATTAGTAAACTTTGTAAAGAGTTTAAAGGTCACTACTTTCATTAATTGAAACATGTTTTCCCAGAATACATGCCTTCATTTGGTTAAAAGTACATGTTTGAAAGCTGTTTCAATCCTCTCTTTAAATATTGTTGTTGAAAATGAGAGTAAATTACCTTATATAACTAGAAACATTATGAAATAATTACAAGGAATTTCTATGGATTAGAATTGGCAATAAAATAAAAAATGTCTTTATATTTAGTGTGAAACATTGCTGTTTTAATTAGTGTATTGATTATGTTTGTTTTCCATGATGCTGTATTAAATGTGTAATCTAGCATTAGCTTGGGAATCTTCCTAGAATACTTGTCAAAAACCATTACATGTGCAGTTGGCAGAAAAATCAATCGGCCTGTTCATATCTTTGCTATCATAGGTAGCATTTACAGTCTTGATCTTATAAAACTGAGGCCTATTGAGATCAAAATGGGTTAACATCCAGGATCCCGTTGTGTCATGTGTAATTTAATTCTGGCACTTGCCTTAATGGCTTGATGTCCCTAATGACTGTTTGAAGATGTTTAATTTTGACGCAGAATTCGATGAAAACAATAATGTCAAGGAAATATTTAGCTATTTATTTGAAACTGTGCATTTCTAAATTGAAACTGTGCATTAAATGATGGTAGAGCTGCAATTTTTTGCACGAGTAGAATATTTAGCATCCAATTATTGGTTGGCAGTTTTGGATTAAAGGAAAATTTGTCATAATTGGGTTACTTCTTGTCAAACCAGGCTTTTGATGTTTAGAAATCATTTTAAAGCTTGGAAAAACACAATATTTGTACAATTAGTTTATTATTCAAACAGAAGTTTGAAAAATATCACTGTGTCCAAGAGACATTCTATTAAGATGATGTTATAAGCTCACCTTTTGGCCTTTACAATTGAAAAGTCACAAATTGTTATATTGATTGATTGATTGATTGGATGTCTTACAGATACATCACCCTCATCATGCATGAACTATTTGTCACTGGACATTAAGCAAAACAAGAGTTAATTAGTTAATCCTTGGAATATAAGACTACATAACCTAGTCAATTTTCTCATTTGGCATAATTTCTGTTGGTTCCTATATGTAAGTGATGTTGAGGAATAAAAAAGGCAAATGCTACCAAAATTGTCAGGTTTTGAATCTTCACATCAATACTTAGATATGACCAAGAGGTCTTTCCC